TTCGTGAAACGCGTTCGCGGGTCGTTTGATGTTTTAGGCATCGACAATGATCTTTCCACAGGTTCACCTACGGAAACCTTATTACGACTTGGAAAATAAAATACCCACCTGAGAGAATTCTTTCCTCCCAAGTTACCCTGCCATACACCAAATAAAGCCTACCCAAAATGCACAAGGTTCCAGAATATAACCCCCCCACTGACCAAACATACAACTAATAATGAGTGGGGGAATTCCCATTTCTACCCCTCCTACACATAATTACAATTGGAGGTCTCACAGCTTTTCACGCTCTCAAGGAAATTTGGGTGGTCCAGCCACATGTTTTCAAAGTGAAAAAGGGAAGTGCCCCATTTTTTGTAGCCGAAACAGCCAAGAATAGGATGGTGGTCTGAAGTTTTTCTTGTAAGTCTAGTTACCGCTATTTCCTTGAACAGATCACTCCAATTAGGGGAGATGAGAGATGAGGGATCTGTCTAACCTTGAAGAAGAGATGTTTTGTCAATGTTACTCTAACGGTACCACTCTTTAAAGGCGCGTTTTCCAGCTTCAAGTCTTGAATCAAAGCATTAGGAGGTCTGAGAGTTTTCCAGCTAAGAAAAAGAATTTTGCTTTTCACGTTAAATGGTTATGGAGATGGGAAGTTTAAGACAGAGCCCTTTGGGGAGAGTCACTATTAACAAGTTTGGGATAAATATCTTCAGGAATTTCCCGTGGCATTAAATGGAAAGGCTCTCAAAGCCCGTGGAAAGACATTGCTAAATCCAGCAGGGTCTTTTAAAATAACGTCAGCTCGATTTCTTCTTGGGATGACTGTTAGGCCACCGATCAGCCGTTGAGAAAGTCCCAAGTCAAATCTGCTTCATAGCCCTTCATTAAGAGAGGAGGATCTTGGCTCCGTACTTGTGCAGATTGATCTGGGAAGGGACCGGTCTTAAAAAAATCATTTTTTTTTCCTTTGGACAGTAGCTCACAGCAGCATTAATAACTTTTTTTTTAGTTTTTTTTCTTTTTTAAAACGCTTATAAATCACATTCAAATTTGAAGAGTTATTTTAGCCGTGCCTTTGCATACTCTCAAACATACATTGCATAGTTATCTTTGTTAAAAGAACATATTTGGCATGGTTTCAAGAAATTCATTTTTCAGTTGCTTATTATGTTTTATATTTTCGTTCCTCTCCTCTATGCAGTTAAGATTGAATCAACCGGAGCTTTACCTCCTGAGGTGCTGTTCACTGAAGCTATAAAGATTTTGGAAGATAAGTGTGAACGTTTAATTGCTGAGCTCTCTTGATTCTTGTCATGGATAACCAATATAGATCAACTTATTATTCCATTATATTTACAAGTCACAAATTTTTGTAGTATGCGAGCTCTGATCTTCTATTTTTCTTTTGAAAAGAAAGTGGAACAGCAAGTCTTGTTGGGCCCAATTTTAAGAATGCCAAAGGAGATCCCGAGGCCTTCGTTATGTTAAATCAAGAATACCAGAAGAATTAATTACAAAACAGGCCTGCACAAACTCGAGAGAACTCGGGATAAAACCTCTCCAATGCTCTCTGTTTACGCTGTCCCTAGCGAAAATTACATAATAGAAAAACTCTTGCCGTGGTGCGATTAGGCAGCGAGTCCAATAGTACGGGAGTATCATTTTTAATACGGTAGTGATGTGGGAAATAGTGAATGAAAGAGAGTATGGTACTTTTATAGTACCAAAAAATTTCCTTGCAACTACAAGTGCAAGTGACCAAGTTGTGAGCTGGAGCTGATTGCTTTTGATTTTCAAATTATTCATGATTATTTGAATTATTATGTTTTTTGTCTTTTATTTTTTGAGTACAATTTGAGAGCATGGAAGTTTGAATCTTCGATCTCAAAAGGAGTAGGTGTCAATTATTGTTGAGATATACTTATGTTGACTTGAATTATTATGTTTTTAATGTTTCTTTCTACTGGAAACAAGGGAGTTGATCTTAGGCTTATATTGTAACACTCAGAAAGGAAAATTTAGGCTAGAATTTAATCTTAGAGAAGATAATTAGTGTATTATCTACTAAGTTTTTCAGTTTAATTAGACATTTCAATTTTTAAGGAAAAGTAAAAAATAAATGCTGTAAATTCAAAATTTGAAAGACATGGAAATTTATCGAGTTTAGTTGAACAGTAATTAATTGATATCTGTCTCGTTCTACTAAAAAAAAATAAAAAAAGTGGGAATTTTACTTTCAAGAAAAGAAAAAAAGAAATGGCTAGACACGCATGCCAGGTGAAGCCCATCTACTCATGAGCCCATCATGGTCTCAACCGCCAGCCCAAATATATTTAAATGTAAGAAGTTTAATATAGTATCTATCTATTCATTTAAATGTAATTGATTTACAACCCCAAACAAAACCAGACCAAATTATCTGGTTTGACTATTATTACGGACTGAACCAAACCGGAAAACCAGCCAAATCAAAATTTCAATTTGTTTAAGTTTGAATTTCTGATTTGATTGGTTTCTTCGGTCTGGTTATGCACTAGAGAGTGAACATCAAACACTGTCTTTTTAATTAAATGTGGAAATACAAATACTTGCGTGATGAACAACTTTACATTTTTTTTTTAATTGAAAAACATTCCAAAGGAATACGAAGAAGTGATCACCAAATATCGTATAGAAGCCTTCGATTTGCTTTCAATCTATTTCAACTATCTCGGGATAGACCTGCAATATCAAAGCAAAAATATTTATGAAACAACATTAATTGATAATAAATTCTTTCAAATATGTAAAATGTATAATTATATAGTTCCACCATACAATATTTTCCATCAGAATCACAATAAATGTGACAAATTCCAAAAGAAGGAGATTTAATTATCTGCTTCATACCTGGCCATGTCCATCCTCATTGAAGCTTCTTGTTCTAATCTTCAACTCCCCTCTATTGGTTGTCAACACATCTAATGTTTCAGCATCACATATCTCAACATCGTCTTCATCTTCAACTATTTGCGTAGAATCCTTTCCCTGTTTCGAGACGAGAGCCGACCATGAAGAGAAAAGAAAATCTTTATGGTCTAGCATATGATGTTAAACAACGGTCCGAATAGCTCATCTGGACACTAATAATAATGGTTTTCAAGAAAAGTACCTTGAAAGAAAGACTAAACGAGGTCTTGGGAGAACCCTCTATTTCTTCATATTCCGCTGCATCGAGCTCTTGCAAGTATTGAGATCGGAGGAGCTTGGGAAGGATGTGTTGTCTTATGGCAATGAGGAAGAAGAAAGGCAAGGGAAACAAGACTCCAACTATAGGGATCCAAGTAACTCCAAAGCAAATGAGGAGATACACAAGTTGAAAGATAGTGAAAATGGCTATGTATTTGAATGGCACCGACTCCACAAAGGAAGCGTGGGCATTTTCTAGGACCCTGCCACAAAAACAAAATGTTATTAATTGTTTATTACTTGTTAGTCTGATCAATAAAGTGTCACGTCAATGTCAAAGAACAATGTTAATGGCATAAACATATATTAGAATCAAAATCGAAAATTTAGAGATGTAATTGAGAGATCGAACAAGAAGGATTACTTGTATCTTCGACTGGGCGTTACGAAGAGGAGCAAAATCCTTTCCCAAAATTGGTTTCCGGGAAGGCTATCAATGGCCATATAAGCAAAATATCCCCAAAGCACGGAAGTTGGGATCTTCTTTACTATTGGTATTGCATAAATTGATGCAGCCACTAGAACCGATTGAAGCAGATTGCTCACTCTTTGCTCATTTACTCTAACAGGAAGATAGGAATCAATATGCTTCTCAAGATGATCAAATTTTTCTTTTGCATTTTCATCTTTGTTTTCCTTGTTCTCTTTAGTAACTGCCTCCTTCAACTCTTCGAGTTCTTTCACCACTCCAGCCATCTGTATAATTACCGTAAACTTGTTTGGCAACAATCATGCAGTTTCATTTCAAAACCAATTGACAATGAGAGGAGTAACTCAAGTCCTTCGTTTTTTCACTGTGGGATCGTGCGTTGTTTGTTTTTCAACGCGTGTCATTTGCTAACGGTTTCTTTTCTTTGTTCTTTCTTTTTAGTGGAAATAGAATTGTGCTTGGCAACGGGATCTTGTTTTCTTATTTTCTCAAAGCATGTATCTTCAAGAATATTTATAGAAGACCAGAAATAGAAACAAGGAATCGTTAATAAAAAGCAAAACTAAAAACAAGAAACGAGAATGCTACCTCCGTAAGTTTTGGGACTGGGCTGCTATCCATTTCAATGAATACATCTTGCATCTGGACATAGATTTCTGAGTTGGTAGCTTTCTTTTTAATGCCTTCCTTGGCACTTTCAACCATCTTTTTTCGTATCAACTAAACATCCATGATCAGATCTAAATTAATTAACATGGCATATCTTAAAAAATATATAAAACAAACAATTCAAAAAATGTATGACTCATTGCATTTAATTTTCATGCTTAATTACCTGTCTCTTAAGAACTGCAAGGCTTTTGGTATGCATGGGGGACTGTGGCAAAACCCCATTTGAAGGAGGGAGCCCAAGCAACCCACAAAGTAAAGTCTAACATAAAATCAAAAAAATATAATAAAACAAGATGTGAGTTTGAAATTATTTTTTGAAAAAAAAGTATTTTTAAGGGAAAGTGCTTATTCAATAATCCAATTTTCAAAATAATTTTTGTTTATCTAACCAACCAAAATACTATCTTGAAAAGTAATTTTAACACTTTTTTACTCTTTCAAAAGTCATATGAAACTCACACGTCTGAGACGGTTCATATATATAAATATTTGTACCATAAATCCGAGCAACAAGATGTCGTAGTGATAAAGCAGAAGGGTTCTTAAGATTAAACTCCTTTTGTTGTGCCAATTGAGAAGCAACGCTATGATCAAAAAAGTAAAGTCCAGCAATCATCACAGCAGGAACAAAGGCAGCAGAGATATATGTGGGAGGAATTTTCCCCATATCCTGTGAAAAACATGTTTCCATTATTAAGCTATATATATATATGAGTTCCAATTGTATTTTTCATAGGTTATATTTTAATAAGATACTAACCACACAAAAAAGAACTAACCACAAACTTCAGTATAGTTCAACTTATCAAAACACCTATCATCAGACTAAAAAATCAGAGATTCTAATCTTTCACCCCTACATAGACCAGTAAAAAGTAAAGCTCCTTCCACAACTTAATTAAAAGATAAAATAAACCAACAAAGAGTTAAAAAGGGAAAATAATTTTTTACCTTGACCACAGTCCAATGGTATAAAGAGGCAGATTCCCATGGCAAAGGGCTTTGGAGTCTTCTAGGAACTCCAGAGGGAATTTTGGAAGGTACACTAAATGATAATGCAGTCCATACAAGAACCATAACAGGAACTCCATAGTCTGCAATCAAGCTTCTCAACCACCCTATATATGGATTCATTACTTAATCAATATCTAAATTAATCATCGCAAAAATAATTATCTAAGTTAAGAGATATAATTGACTTTTTTTTCTAGTACAACGAGTAGAAATGGAGATTCGAACTCACGACTTTTTAATCGGAGATATATACCTAAACCAGTTGAACTATGTTTATTAGGTTAGCGTTAAAGGATCACGGCTGAGCTAGCATAATTTAGGTTTGATAAAATAGCTAGATTAATATCTCAACAGTTTATCACAAAAAGATACTAATTACTACTGTTAACTGATAGGTAGGTATTGGTTAATTAGCAATACAGTTAATGAATGATTATATAGTTAACCTTGTTTTTATATTTTGTTTTTCGTCTGTTGTTTGCTATTTTTTAATAATTGAAAATAGAACTATGTTCGGTAACTATTTCTTATTTTTGTTTATTGAAAAAAAAAAACCAAAACATATTCGTGAAACATTTTTTTTTGTTCGTTCTCTCAAATTCTAAATTTTACTTTTTATATGAAATTTAATCTTTTTTTTCGTATTAATTGACATATATCTCTAATAAATAAGAATTTTTGTTTTTGTTGTTTCTAAAATTACCTTTCATACCCTCACGAAACAATAAATAAGAACAGTTACCAAATACTCATACTTCTCCATAATTGAAAATGAAAAATAAGGAATGATAAATAGCAACGTTACCAAAAAAGCTCTAACGGAAAGTGATAACAGTCGACCAATATAAAAATAAATGTAAGTAAAATATATTGATTTCTCACTATTAAATGGTTTAAAATACATCTCTCTAAATATTTTAGAAAATTATACTACCCATCCAAAATTTCCAAAATTTTGAACATAATATATATTACTTTAAAAACCCAAATATAATATAAATATTTTTGACAAACCTGTGGCATACAACCATGACCTGCCCTTTCTACTTTTCAAAGCAGTGTAGGAAACTCCAGAAGTAAATATGATTCCAAGCAATCCATTTGTGTAAAGCCAATGAAACTCATACTTCTCCAAATTTTGATTCTCTGCTTTCGGAATTTTAAACTCTCCTACCATTCCCTGCATGCATCAAACTTCTAGACTTCAGCTTCAACTTTTAAAGCTGTGTTTTAAAAAATATTTAATAAATTACTAATTAAAATTTTAATGCTTAGGTAATATATTCCATTTGGTATCTAACCGGTCTCTAACATCAAGATTTTGAAAAAAAAAATATTTTTAAAAAACTACTTTTTATTTTTTGTTTTAGATAAAATAAAATTTAGTATATATAATATAAAGAATATAACATACACCGGAAAAATATAATTCATAAAATAAAATGTAATTTATCATATAAATTTCTTTGATATAAA